TATTTTATGGCCATTCAAGGAGATATAGAAGTCTGATGATCCCGGGACTGTTCCAGCAGAAGTTGCGGTGGAGATGACCCAATTGCAGGATTGGAAGAAGTATGTTTTTGAGCAGTTGCTTGAGATGAACAATCCTTTAATCAGGAAGATCCTCATTATTCATGTCATCGCCTGGGGGATTCATCTGATGTTCCTGTTCAGAGGCCAATTCACGAGCGTAATCTCGAATTGCAGCCGCATCGAGGTTAAAATCCTAATCTGGTGTAAACTGCTTGGGACGGTTTCTTTGCAGTTGTAAAAAGAGGAAACCGTTAATCCGACAAACATGTCGGAAAATGCCCATGGTAGGGAATCAAAGCTCTACACGGAGAGAGTAATTCCGTTAAACGAAATCAAGGAAGTTAATTGAAAACCAGAAGATAATCGCCTTCTACAAATGGTGTACTTCTTTAATTTATAAAGTCTACCACAAAGCGGAATTGTTTGACCAAAAAACATGTATTTTTTAGGCTATTATATTAACACTAAAAAATAATTAAACATAAAAATCGTTTTCACAAGAAGATAATACACAACTTCCACTTCTGCGTGTGGGTTGTCTCAGCACGTAACATTACACGAAATAGATTCTTTGCTCGTAAAGCTTCACTTCAGCTGAGGCAAGAGGAGGCATGGGAGGGTTGCAAGCATAGACGGGACTCAACCACTATAGAAGCCTGGCAAAACCTTGAAAATTAAACAATATGGAAATGTCAATAAATTATTAACCCACAAATTGAGCAATATGAACAGCGATTGTACAACCCCTGTTTCAAAAACAGAGCATAAGAACATGTCCATTGTGGTGCTCTCAAGTGTGTTCTTAAAATATAAAATTATTAAAACACACTCTCTCTTCCTTTTACTCAACTTTATACCTTCTCTTTCATCCTTTTACTCAACTTTTATTAATTTTATATTAAAACACTTTCAGTTTATTTTGAGAACACTATCTAAAAGTATTACTTTAAGAACACTCTCTTTTCCTTTTACTCAACTTTTATTAATTTTATATTTAAACATTCTCACTTCATTTTGAGAACACTATCTAAAAGTACTACTTTAAGAACACTCTCTTTTCCTTTTACTCAACTTTTATTAATTTTATATTTAAACACACCCACTATCTTCTCTCTTTACTCAAATTTTATTAATTTTATATTCAATACACCCCACAAAAACACTCCCTTTCTTCCTTTTACTCAAATTTTAATAATTTTATATTTTAAAAACACACTTGAGAGCACCCCAATGTAGATGTTCTAAGAAATTCGTAAATGCATTAACCAAACCAAGTGAATACTTGTGAAACACCAAACTAAAGTTAAACTCAAACTCACCATTTTGAGACTTATCCCATCAACATCCCTTTCGAGAGAACTCAACCATAAATACTTTCTTATAGAGGAAGAAAGACTAACCTTGATCCATTGCTTATTTGGATTGTTATGGAATCAATTCACCAATTGATTTTCTCCTCCCTTAACCTTTTCCTTAATGATCTCCTTTGATGGAATAGAAATCTAAGTCTTTCCTCTCTTTTCTATATCGATGATCTTACTTGCGGAAACGTACGGCTTTTCTTGTTCTTATCGTGTCTCACTTAGTACACATAATAAGTTAATGTGTACTTATA